TAACACAAAGGTTTATAGAAAAAAACCTGGAAAAAATATCTGAAATTCTTGGAACTAAAAAGTTATCCAAAAACAAAGCAATCAAACTAACAAAATCAGATGAACCCCTACTCACTCTAACCAAAACAGCAAACAGACAATGTTTTCTTCTCCACCATAGGAAAAAATCTAGCAAACAAAATACCAAGCACAAACACCCATCCATCAGACTACTTCATAGTTTTTTTTTTTTTTTTTTTTTTAACAAGTCGGCCGTCTCCCACCGAGGCAGGGTGACCCAAAAAAGAAAGAAAATCCCCAAAAAGAAAATACTTTCATCATCATTCAACACTTTCACCACACTCGCACATTATCACTGCTTTTGCAGAGGTGCTCAGAATACAACAGTCTAGAAGCATACACATATAAAGATACACAACATATCCCTCCAAACTGCCAATATCCCAAACCCCTCCTTTAAAGTACTTCATAGGTACTTACCCAAATACACTATTCCTAGCTTCAACCAACCCCAGTGAAGTTACGCTCATCATAAACACCATTAAAAACAAGGCAGGAGACATAAACAACTTGCCTGCTTTTATGTACAAAAAACTTCTCAAGTACTGTCACCAATTATTGCAACGCTCTTTAACAAATCCATTGACTCATCTACCTTCCCAACAATCCTCAAAATAGCGAGGGGGTTTCATTTCCGATCCATAAAGGAGGTGACCAAGCTGACTTGAATAACAAATAGACCAATATTTTAACTTCCCACTGCTCCCCTAAAATCTTTGAAAAATTAATTCATAGACGGATCTTTTCCCTACCTCGTTTCACAAAAACATTTTAAAATTTCTTTGTCAGTTTGGATTCAGGAATAATAAAAGCACAAAGATGCTATCATACACTTTGCTAGAACTAATATATATCGCACTTGAAAAGAAAGAAGTCCCGCTGGGCATTTTCACTGATTTACGTAAAGCTTTCAATACAGTCGACCATGAACTGCTGTACTCCAAATTAATGCACTATGGTATCAGAGGGCCATTCTCCTCAACTCCCTAAAGTCATACCTTAGTAACGAACTCAATATGTGTATGCAAATGATGCAAACTCTTCCACCCAAACCAATCACGGTGGGAGTCCCACAAGGAAGCGTCCTTGGACCACTCCTCTTTTCTCATCTACATCAATGATCTACCGAATGCATCACAGCTACTCAAACCCATATTATTTGCAGATGACACTACATATGTCTTTTCCCACCCAAACACAGTCATACTAGCAAACACAGTCAATGCTGAATTACAGAAAATATCTGCTGGATGATGACTAACAAACTTACCCTGAAAAACTGATAAAACCTATTTCATTCAGTTGGAAACAAAGCTGCAAATGATCCAATTAACATAACGCTAAATGGTTCATCCAGTCACAAGACTCACAGAGGGAAAATTCCTAGGTATCCACCTTGAAAAGTAGCCGTAAGTTCCGACACACATACAACAAATCACCAAGAAAATCTCCAAGACTGTAGGCAATACTATCAAAGATAAGGTACTACGTTCCACAATCAGCTCTCCTGGCACTGTACCATTCACTTATTACCCTTAAACTTCATATGGAATTTGTGCATGGGGATCAAAAAAACATCCAATTTGCCTAAAACCCCTAATAACCCCGCAAAAGGCAGCAGTAAGAATGGTTAACAAATTCCCACTCCCCCAGCATACTCCACAATTTTCAAAAGTCTGAATCTGCCTCACCCATTAAGAACATCCATACTTATTTATGTGCCACTACATACACAGAACAATACACACAAATATAAACCCCCCACTCAAACTTCTCCTCACCAACCTAAACAGGAACATGACCACAACACAAGACACACATCTCTTTTTGATATACCTCGTGTCCATATCACACTGGTGTAAAAACTCTATGCACATTTAAAGGCCCCAAAAAATGGAATTCATTACCAGAAGATATTAAAATAACCCAGTCTGAAAATCAATTTAAGATTCTTCTCAAAAGCCACTTAATCACCCTAGACTAAATGCTAAATGCTCAGTACACACTTACTCACCTATGTACTCCCACATAATAACTGAAACATCCCCTTGAACCTTTTATCCTTTTTTGACAGGAATATAAATTTAATCATTGTTTTCACAAAAAGCATTTTTGAATATAAATATATCCTTGTATTATACAAATTTTGATTAATTTATAATTAATATTCTACTGTACAACTATGAAATAATTACTATCCTACTGTACAACTATGATAAACTCCTTAGTATTAAGTAGACTGTAAGCCAATAATGTTAAGTTGGCCCATAATGCCTAGGCATAATAGAGGCTCTCTTTGCATTGCAACCCACTATTGTAAATACAAAATCTCAATGTACTGTTTGCAAAGACATAAAATAAATAAATAAATAAATAACAGTACTGGAAACTATTAATTCACAGCAACACAAAAGCTACAATCATTCACCTCAGTAAGTAGAGTCACATCAACCCTTTCCACATCACACAATTCCTTGTCAACAAGCAACTACAATTAGAATCTCAGATAAGATACTGTAGTTATTTGCACTTAGTTGATAATTAAAAAAATATTTGTTTAGCAAATTCCCTATGTTTTCACTTTACATACTGCTAATTTCTACAAGTCACCAATTTTCAGGAATGTATCCTATGTGTTATGAGAAGATTTACTGTATTATTTTATCTTATTTCATTAAATGAAAAGATATTTTGTACAAGTTCGTTTCATGCATGTGTGGTGGACTCCACTTAGTTTAGTCAAGAACTGAACATTTATAAGTTCCATTAGTCTGTTGTAGAGAAAGGGGAGGGAAAAGCTTTGACATACACGATCAAGGTTGACTTACTGCTGCTAAAGCACAAGCTTAACCAAGCCACAACCTTCTTGTCACATGCCCAGGCATGTACTTGCCCACACCACAACCCTCCCTACCACATGCCAAGGTACCTGTTACCCACACCACAACCCTCCCTGCCACATGCCCAGGTACCTGTTACCTGCACTACAACCCTCCTTGCCACATGCCCAAGTACCTTTTACCCACTCTACAACCCTCCCTGCTACATGCCCAGGTACCTATTACCCATATAACAACCCTCCCTGTCACATACCCAGGTACCTGTTACCCACACTATAACCCTCCCTGCCACATGCCCAGGTACCTGTTACCCATACTACATGCCTCCTTGCCACATGCCCAGGTACCTGTTACCCCACACTATAACCCTCCCTGCCACATGCCCAGGTACCTGTTACCCACACTACAACTATCCCTGCCACACACCAAAAACACAAGGTGCTATCAAAAAACCTCCAGAACTGACTTGAAAAAATATATACAAGTTGTCTCCCACAAAGTACTATCCCTGGGATGCTATTCACTGATCCCGTCACCTATGCCACTTCACAAAAGATTTCTGGAACCCTTCTTTCTTAACAGCATCTAGCATGGTCCATGATTTTGCTTGAATCTCCTCCACTTCGTTAAAACCCCATTCCTTAACTACTATTTTTATTTTGGGGGAAGAGTAAGAAGTCACAGAGGGGTTAGATCTGGGGAGCAGGGAGGATGGGGGATAACCTCCATTTTGGGGAATGGGGGAGCCAAAAATGCAATGGTGTTTCTAGTCTTGAGCCAGCAAGCAGGGCACATTTTACAGCCACTTGCCTTATCTTCAAATTCTGTCAAAATGCTTTGAAAATTGGCAAAAATCGAATATTTCCTCTACTCTGAGCCCAATTTCAAGTTGCTTCCGTCTTGAAAGCAACCAAAATCATCTAAATTTCAGTAGTATGCCTTCCATTCTATCAAATGATATCAAGAAACAGCCAATAAAACCATCCTAGAAAACACCTCAAATTTGCTATTTTAAACCAGACACATGGTCAGTATTTTGCTTTTCCCATAATACACCATGTGTGGCAGGATTTTTTTATACTGTGCACACTCACCGTGCAGACCCATTCTCTCTTACCTAGGGCAAAATTTAAAGCTCACAGCTCATCCGAGTGAGTTGAGCTCATGATATAGAACTGTGTGAGGGACCCTGGCCTCAATGACATAGTTCTATGTGATGGCCAATGAAAGGGTTAATGATAAGCACTGAATACATCACCCACACCTGCACATCAACCTATATATCATCCACACCTTTTCCTCCTATACCTACATCACCCAAACCTGGTCATTCTCCACATGCATTCCCACATTTACATCACTCACACCTGCTGCTTCATCACATATACATCACCCACACCTGCTGCTTCATCACATATACATCACCCACACCTGCTGCTTCATCACATATACATCACCTACACCTGCTGCTTCATCACATATACATCACCCACACCTGCTGCTTCATCACATATACATCACCCACACCTGCTGCTTCATCACATATACATCACTCACACCTTCTGCTTCATCACATATACATCACTCACACCTTCTGCTTCATCACATATACATCACCTACACCTGCTGCTTCATCACATATACATCACCCACACCTGCTGCTTCATCACATATACATCACCCACACCTGCTGCTTCATCACATATACATCACCCACACCTGCTGCTTCATCACATATACATCACCTACACCTGCTGCTTCATCACATATACATCACCTACACCTGCTGCTTCATCACATATACATCACCCACACCTTCTGGAACAGAAGGAGGGAGGGACAGAAAGGGAGGGTGGGTGGGTGGAAGGGATAGGGATAGGGTGAAAGGGATAGGGAGGGAGAGGGTGAAAAGGATAGGGAGAGGGGGTGGAAGGGATAGGGAAGGAGAGGATGGAAGGGACAGGGAAGGAAAGGATGGAAGGGATAGGGAAGGAGAGAATGGAAGGGATAGGAAGAGAGGGTGGAAGGGTCAGTGGAAAGAATGCTTCACTTTATTATAATATTTTTAATTACATATACAGAATTAAATTTATAACTTACCTCTTCATCTTCTTCATCTTGTTCTCCATTTTCTTCATCCTCTTCATCTTGGTCTCTATTTTCTTCATCCTCATCATCTTGTTCACCATTGTCTTCCTCTTCTTCTTGCTCCCCAATATCACCATCCTCCTCTTCATCCTGTTCTATATTATCTTCCTCCATTTCTTCCTCTTGTTCTGTGATGTTTTCTTCTTCCTCATCTTCACTACTAATTTTATAATTCTTCCTCTTATTTGTTACTCTTCGTGTGCTATGTCTGTAAGAAATTTGTAAGCTAGTACTAAGGCTTCAACTGAAGGTAAGTAAATGAACTTGCAGGTAAATGCTAATATGAGCATTGTGTGAATACAAGATCTTTTTTTAAGGCATACAGTACCATGATCAATAAATATTTAATGCTGTAAAGTCTTTATTAGTACACTTCACCCATGGGTTAGCTTTATCAAGTACTTATTGCTGAAAAGTTACACGAATAAAGACTTCACTGCATTAAGTGTAACATTTTCACTTATCAGTACACCATTATTCAGTATACACACAGCACTATGTCAGAACACTGTATTTAACAGATAAAATTCATATGATCAAACTGTTTCAATTTTTTTTTAACACGCTGGTTGTCTCCCATCAAGGCCGGGTGACCCAAAAAAGAAACACTTTCACCATCATTCATACATAAATCACTGTCTTTGCAGAGGCGCTCAGATACGACAGTTGTGATGTCATTCCAAACAGCAAATACTGTGGAATTTTGGTGTTCATATGCCCTGATTTTTGTAGGATTCAGTTTTTGATGACTTTTTTCATCAAAAATTTCTCCCAGTTTTCGTACATCCGCTCGGTTTTCGAAGAGTTGACAATGGTCCTCTGTACCAAATGCATCCGCCTGCCTGCACCCACACACAAAGCATCCCACGCATTCTAACTCAGTCTGGCTTTGTTTCTTGTTGAGTGAGCATTGTGAGAATGTGCCTTCTTCAGTGAATAAGGATGTATGCAAAGTGAAATGAATTGCAAAGCTTTGTGGAGAAATATCACCCTAACAAAGCTGTTGCAAGCCGTGTCTGCAACATGCTCAACGACAATGCCTTGTCCCATTTTAGGCAAATCTTAAAGAGTAGCCAGAAACAGACCTCTCTGGACAGATTTTTTGTGCGACTGGGGTCCTGTGACTCTCAAGCTGGGCCTAGTACCCGTAAAAAAAAAAAAAAAAAAAAAAAAAAAAAAAAAAAGGGAAGTAACCCCAGATAGGGCCTTGATACCTGAAGTCCTTAAGGAGGAAAAGATTCCCTTTCCAAATAATAACCTCTCCTCCTCCTTCTTCCCTCCTCGCCATCTTCCATATGCCAACAAGAGTCTTCAATAAAGGTAAAAGTGATGTTAAATGTTCATTTATCCATTTCATTAGTCATTCATATTTATTTCTCATTGTTTTCTATATGTATAGCTATAGGGGGTAAAGGAGGTTTTGTGTGCGAGGGGCTTGAACTTCCAGCAGGCATGCGTGAGCGTGTTTGATATGAGTGAATGGAGACGAATGGTTTTTAATACTTGACGTGCTGTTGGAGTGTGAGCAAAGTAACATTTATGAAGGGGTTCAGGGAAACCGGCAAGCCGGACTCGAGTCCTGGAGATGGGAAGTACAGTGCCTGCACTCTGAAGGAGGGGTGTTAATGTTGCAGTTTAAAAACTGTAGTGTAAAGCACCCTTCTGGCAAGACAGTGATGGAGTGAATGATGGTCAAAGTTTTTCTTTTTCGGGCCACCCTGCCTAGGTGGGAATCGGCCAGTGTGATAATAAAAAAAATAATAAAATAATAATGTATAGCTATAGTTATTCTCAAAAAAATGTACTTTGTGTTAATATTTTTGGGTGTCTGGAACAGATTAATTAGATTTACATTATTTCTTATGGGAAATATTGCTTCAGTTTTCAAACAATTCGTTTTTTTTCGGACTTTCTGGAACGAATTAATCACGAAAACCGAGGTTCCACTGTATCTCAAACCCATCCTTTAAAGTACAGGCAATGTACTTTCCAGGACTCAAGTCCAGCTAACCGGTTTCCCTGAATCCATTCACAAAATATTACCCTACTCACACTCCAACAGCACGTCTAAGTCTCAAAAACCATTCGTCTCCATTCATTCCTATGTAACATGCTCACACATGCCTGCTGTGTGTCCATGCCCCTTGCATCGTGTGTAATTTCAACACTTTACAAATGTATTCTAATAGTACAGTGGACCCTCGACCAACGATGGCATCGTCTAACGTTAAATCCAACTAGCGATACATTTTAACGCAAAAATTTTGCCTCGACTAGCGCTAAAAAACTTGACCAACACGATTTGTTCCATTCGAGACGCGTCCACTTGTGGCCAGTGTTTACAAGTCAGCCAGCCACTGCGGTCCCATCCAAATATACAATCAGAACATTTCATATTATCACAGCATTTTTAGTGATTGCACCTGCAAAATAAGTCACCATGGGCCCCAAGAAAGCTTCTAGTGCCAACCCTACAGCAAAAAGGGTGAGAATTACTATGGATATGAAGAAAGAGATCATTGCTAAGTATGAAAGTGGAGTGCTTGTCTCCGAGCTGGCCAGGTTGTACACAAAACCCCAATCAACCATCGCTACTATTGTGGCCAAGAAAAGGGCAATCAAGGAAGCTGTTCTTGTCAAAGGTGCAAGTATGTTTTTGAAACTGAGATCGCAAGTGACAGAAGATGTTGAGAGACTGTTATTGGTGTGGATAAATGAAAAACAGATAGTAGGAGATGGAATCTCTCAAGCGATCATATGTGAAAAGGCTAGGAAGTTGCATGACGATTTAAATAGAAAAATGCTGCAACTAGTGGTGATGTGAGTGAATTTAAGGCCAGCAAAGGTTGGTTTGAGAGATTTAAGAATCGTAGTGGCATACATAGTGTGATAAGGCATGGTGAGGCTGCCAGTTTGGACCAAAAAGCAGCTGAAAAATATGTGCAGGAATTCAAGGAGTACATAGACAGTGAAGAATTGAAACCTGAACAAGTGTTTAATTGTGACACTGACAATGTTGTGAAACACTTTAGGAATGTCATAAAGGAATGGGAGGTACAGGCCTCTATGGACAGATATGTTGTGCAACAGAGGTCCAGTGACTCTCAAGCTGGTCCTAGTGGCATTAAAAGAAGAAGGGAAGTAACCCCGGAAAAAAACTTGACACCTCAAGTCCTAATGGAAGGGGATTCCCCTTCTAAACACTAACACTATCCACACTCTCCCCTCCTCCCATCCCATCAATCATCACCAGATCTTCAATAAAGGCAAGTGTCATGTAATTGTACATGTCTTCTTCAGTTTGTGTGTATTAAAATTAATCTTTCATGTGGTAATTTTTTTTTTTCAATACTTTTGGGTGTCTTGCACGGATTAATTTGATTTCCATTATTTCTTATGGGGAAAATTAACTCGACTAACGATAATTTCGATTAACGATGAGCTCTCAGGAATGGATTAATATCGTTGGTCGAGGGTCCACTGTATATTTTTGTAATTATATAATTACAAAAAGGACCTGCCTAGTATGGACCAACAGGCCTGCTGCAGTGTTCCCCCTTTCTTATGATCTTGTGTTCTTAAATTTTTTCATTCTCAATAACTATACAGAAAAAATACTACCCACAGTCCCCTTCACTTTGCACAGATTATGTATTAATTCCTATAAACAAAAGTTTTATATTTTCCAAATTTATTGTATTAATTAACCTTTCAGTTCTTCATCCATTTACTGCTTTTTCTGTTGAAAACGAGCTAAACCTATGTGGGCTATTTAGTACAAAGAGTGATGGTGGTTTGATCCTACAATCGCTAATTGTGAGAAAGACTTGCTACTATAACTGTACTCTTCTCAATCCATCATTTTCTTTAAGTGTATTTATGCCTACCGGCCAAGTTATTAGATGGGTTGCTGAAATTCCTTTTATCTGAACTGTCATATCTGCATACCTCTGCAAAGACAGTGATTATGTGTGAATGATGGTGAAAGTATTTCTGTTTTAGGTCACCCTGCCTTGATGGGAGACGGTGAGCGTGTTGAAAAACAATTTTTTTTTTTTAACACCGACCATTTCCCATCGAGGCAGGGTGACCCAAAAAGAAACACCCAAAAACAATGAAAAAACTTTCATTATTCAACACTTTCACCATTATTCATACACAATAATCGTCTTTGCAGGTACGACAGTTTAGATGTCACTCCAAACTGCTAATATCCTAAACCCCTCCTTTAAAGTGCAGGCATTGTATTTCCCATTTCCAGGACTCAAGTCCAGCTAACCGGTTTTCCTGAACCCCTTCACAAAATATTACCTTGCTCACACTCCAACAGGTTGTCAGGTCCCAAAAAACCATTTGTCTCCATTCACTCCTATCTAACACGCTCACACATGCTTGCTGGAAGTCCAAGCCCCTCACTCACAAAACCTCCTTTACCCCCTCCCTCCAATCTTTTTGCGACAACCCCTACCATGCCTTCCTTCCTCAACGGATTTATACGCTCTCCAAGTCATTCTACTTTGTTCCATTCTCTATAAATGACCAAACCACCTCAACAGCCCTCTGACTAATACTTTTAGTAACTCCACACCTCCTAATTTCCACACTGCAAATTCTCTGCATAATATTTAAACCACACATTGCCCTTAGACACGACATCTCCACAGCCTCCAGCCGCCTCTTCACTGCAGCATTTACTCTGATTCTAATTATATTTTTTCTTATACATTCTTCCTCTCACTTTACATTTACAAGATCTGCTTTCATCTTTTACTATACCACTTTGTCTCTATGTACATTTCCTCCCAACCTTGCACTGGTGCACACCACACCACTCGTCCATTTACAACCTCGAGTGGTTAGGTTTGTCACCTTCCCTTAATTATGATTACAAGAATATTAATTACAAACCTTAATCTAGGTGGGGCCATATAGTCACAATCATCTTCATTGTCGTCGTCATCATCATCATCCTCCTCCTCCTCGTTGTCATCATCTGTTTCCATATACTTTCTACGAGAAGTACCTCTGAGAGTCCTACCATGACTTTTACTACGATTTCTGACATGTTTCTGAGCATTCTTTTTCTTGCTGGAACCTTTGAAAGTACTTTTTCTCTCAGAAACCTAGGAAGAAAGATGTTTATGTATCATTAAAAACTACAACCTGCAGGACAGGTTGATCAACAAGTAGGAATGACAAAGATAAGTAGGTGGGTTTGTATTTGAAGAGGAATAAGAGTATGGGTGAAGCTTCCAAAGTCAAGCAATTTTAAAATTCAAAATTTTAAATTTTAAAATTGAGCCCTGGAAATGTGAAGTACAATGCCTGCACTCTAAAGGAGGGGTTTGGGATACTGGCAGTTTGGAGAGTTATATTGTGTATTTTTATACATATATACATATACATATATACATATATTTATACATATATACAATCTATAGGGGAAGGAAGGCGGGGTAGGGGTCGTCCTCGAAAGGGTTGGAGAGAGGGGGTAAAGGAGGTTTTGTGGGCGAGGGGCTTGGACTTCCAGCAAGCGTGCGTGAGCGTGTTAGATAGGAGTGAATGGAGACGAATGGTACTTGGGACCTGACGATCTGTTGGAGTGTGAGCAGGGTAATATTTAGTGAAGGGATTCAGGGAAACTGGTTATTTTCATATAGTTGGACTTGAGTCCTGGAAATGGGAAGTACAATGCCTGCACTTTAAAGGAGGGGTTTGGGATATTGGCAGTTTGGAGGGATATGTTGTGTATCTTTATATGTGTATGCTTCTAGACTGTTGTATTCTGAGCACCTCTGCAAAAACAGTGATAATGTGCGAGTGTGGTGAAAGTGTTGAATGATGATGAAAGTATTTTCTTTTTGGGGATTTTCTTTCTTTTTTTGGGTCACCCTGCCTCGGTGGGAGACGGCCGACTTGTTGAAGAAAAAAAAAAAAAAAAAAAAAAAAAAAAAAAAACTTCCAAACTGTTGTATTCTGGGCACCTCTGCAAAAATAGTGATTATGTGAGTGAGGTGAAAGTGTTGAATGATGATGAAAGTATTTTCTTTTTGGGGATTTTCTTTCTTTTTTTGGGTCACCCTGCTTCGGTGGGAGACGGCCGACTTGGGGGAAAAAAAAAAAAGTTAGATAAGAGAACAAGTGCAACTAATGACAATTTATTGTGGCAACATCTTGCTCTCCAGGAGCTTTGCCAAGATGCAACAGCTTGACAAAGCTCCTGAAGAGTAAAACATTGCCACAGTAAAATGTCACATTCATATTCATTCATATATTTTATTTGGACATGATACATAGTTGTACAATGAATTATAGTAGTTGGGTGAACATGCCAAAAGCCCCTTGTATGCAGAGCATTATGGGCAGGCATAAAATTAACAAGCAATGAAAGGTTCAGTGTTAAAAATTACAGTAAACAATTTACAGTATGAAGTAAAATTGAGTATTTGAAACAATGAAATTTGAACATATTGATACTGAAGCATTATAGTTGTACAAACGTGTCACATTACAATGTATAACAAAGGATGACCAAATTGCTATAGTTGCACTTGTATCCTTTTACCTAACAATTTTAAGATTAAGAATAAAATTTTGTAAATAAACAGTTACATAAAATGCACTTCTTCCTCACAATCTATGGTTTCATAAAGCACTTATTCACTATTTCATTAAAGACCCAAACTTACAATTTACTTTGTAGATTTACTGTAATAAAAGTACCTTCAGTCTTATAGTTAAAACCCTTTGAGGTCCAAGATTTTTCTATTTTTTTTTTTTTTTCTTATGAAATGGTAGAGAATCTTTTTCTGAAGGTAATAAAACAAAAAGTATGAAATTTGATGGAAAACTGATGAAATTACACTAGTGCAAATTTTACTGCATCAGCGACATTTACGCATCGGCGATTTTGCCCAATTTGACTCCTATTTTAGGCCAATTGCATTATTCCAGTTGACCAAAGTCTTAGCTATTTCACTAGTATTACTTCTATTTTATTGATTGAGCACAAGAAACTACCCAATCAATTACCCAATAAAGTGATCAGATATTGGTAATTTTGCCCATTTCACATAAAGTTCAAAATATTCCAATTTCAAAATGAGGTCCAGCTAACCTGAGTTGTTACTAGTACAGTCATCCATTTCTTAAATGAGTGTTCACTTAGTGGGGGAAGAAAAAACCTTACTTCATTAACAACTAAATTTGCTAGGTCCAAACTTTGTCTCGATTCACTACCACTTCCTTGAACAGACTAAGAGATATTATCAAAGACACACTTGATGTTTTCACAACATCTTGTTAATTATTACTGTAATGTGGTGAGAAATAGAGGCAACTTTCAGAAAGTGCCTTATATTCCATGAGGTTACTGACAATGTAAGAGGCAAAGATGTCTCTAGTGCTGCCAGATGTAGACTGGATGACTTAGAAATTCTTACTTTTGCTGACACCTATATCATAAAAAATTAGCTGACGACATCTTCAAAATTAGCTGATGCCAACCGATCTTCAGTTTTAGACATACCATCAAAATTGGACAATTTAAACAACAATAGCATTAAAATTACCTAATACAAGAGAGCCCTGCTTTGCAGCACTTCGCTTTACAGCTTTACTAATACAGTAGTTCCCCTCATATCCGAAGGGGATACGTTCAAGGACCTACCGTGGATATCCAAAATTGTAGTGAACCCTATATAGAAGTCATTTTCCGTTGACATACATACCAATAAGTAGAGAATTAGCACTTTTTCATTGATGTGAAGCACTGCAAGGCTTCTATTAGGTTCTGAAGAACTACCAACATTACTACTTTTGTGCCATTATTTAGTAAAATTAAGGGTTATTTTTTGGGCCTCGGAAAACCGTGGGTAACTGAAATGGTGGAAAATGAATCTACAGATATGGGGAGGTGGAGGGTTCTACCATATAGCAGTTTTCAGTTATACCCTTTTTTTTTTCCTTCATCAAACTGGCCGTTTCACACCGAGGCAGGGTGGCCCAAAAAAGAAAAATAAAAGTTTCTGTTTTTAACTTTAGTAATGTATACAGGAGAAGGGGTTACTAGCCCCTTGCTCCCGGCATTTTAGTCGACTCTACGACATGCAAGGCTTACGGATGAAAATATTTTAGGGCAAGTAATGTGTATACTGTATGCATATTTTTGGCCTAGCTATATTGCTCAGTTAATATATGATAGTGTAAACACAATATTAGGCGGCTTTTACATTCATTGGAAAAGAAAAAAAATCAGAAGGGGGGGGGGGGGAAGAATGGAAGCAGAGGGGGTGGAAAAAGGGAAAGGGGGGGGAGGGGTAAAAGGGAAGAGGGGGCATGATTCACTTTACAGTGGTAGCTCGGAATTGAACCTGCTGTATAAGCAGGGCCTGCCTGATACTCTATTTTTGGTCTATGCCAATACCATCAAAATTAGCCGATACCAATACTTTGACACAGCCCTAGTAACTTGGTTACTGCTCATTACCTATATACATTTGTAAAGTAAAAATAATTTATGTTAACCTATCCTAAACTAGAATAAATAATTTGGTTTCTATTTATATCACCCAGAAATTGACACATTTAACAAGTGTAACAATAAAAATTTTTACTCAGAGGATAAATTGTATAAATACAACATAAAAGAAAGATTTATTATTATAAAATGTATAGGCTCTTGAAATTTCAAAATATGAAAAACCCTACTTTACAAGATCATTACTTCTTGTCACCAGGTAAAAATTAATGTACCGTATTTCCTCTGGCCCACAGTATATGTACTGTACATACATGATAAAATGCTAAACAAAAATAACAACAACACGACTGATGTACACAAAAGGTTATTATAGTTGTGTGCTTACCAATTCTTCTTCGCTGTTTGACTGGTATCTAGTTCTAGTTGTCCTAATGTTTTTATAGCCCCTCCTCTTTCTTGCATTACAGTCTACACATGCCCAGTCCTTCCTGTAAGATAAAAGGATAACACACTAAATTTGAATGACACCAACATAGCTGTTGTAAGCCTTTAGACAAACACTAAGATATACATTCTTTCATTATCATCACTCTTCTGGTTTCATTAAGACAAATTAAGAACATGCAACATCAGGATCATGTCCTTAATAGTCAAAATACATTAATCCAAACAAGCCGAGGTCCAGTTTCCTCTTAATACCAAAATTACATAAAAGAGACAATATATATAAATGTAAGTACTGTACCTGAAAACAAACGATATTTTTTCTATTAAGCCACAGTACAGCCTCTCCTCACTTAGTGACGTTCTCATTTGCCGACGACTCGGACTTACGACGGGCTCTCTGACCAGTATACATACCTAAATGATGTATATTAGAGATGATTTCTTCTATTCTGTTTATTACAATATACAGTGCACTACTGTATAAACATTTAAAAATACGTGGTACCTTGGGATACGAACTTATTTTGTTCCAGAAGGCTGTTCAAGTGCTGACACCGAATGAATTTGTTCCCATAAGGAATAATGTAAAGTAGATTAATCCATTTCAGACCCCCAAAATACACTTAGAAAAACACTTTCATAAATACACTTACATAATTGTTCACATTTTGAGCTGTTCGTATCCCGAGGTACCACTGTATACTAAAAATGCTATAAATGGCGCAATGGTGACATTAAAACAATATCAAAGATGGTTGATACAAACTCGCTACCATTATAGTATGCTCGTTTAGCGATGAATTCGTTTACCGACGTGGTCTTAGGAATGGAACTCTGTGAGGAGAGGCTGTGCTAAAGCAAGGAAGCTAGAAGCCACAGAGATATAATGTTCAAGAGCAATGTGTGGTGCGAATATAATGCGAAGAATTTGGAACACAAGACAATAAAAAGTAATGTGGGGTCACCAAGGTTATTCAGAGTTGAAGTGGGATTGTAAAGATGGTCTAGGAATATGAAGAATGGAGAAGGATAGGATGACAACAAAAGGATGTATAATTTGGGATAGAAGGTAGGAGTGGGGGTCATCCTAGGAATGGTAAGAGGGGGGGGGGGGGAAGAGTAGAGGAGGCACTGGGTTTCAGGGCCTTGAGCTTCCAGCAAGCTTGTGCGAGCAAGTCAGATAGGAGTAAATGGAAACAAGTGGTTTTTAATTAACCCTTTGACTGTTTCGGCCGTACTATGTATGTCTTATGAGCCAGTGTTTTGGACGTATATATACTCAATAATTCTAGCGGCTTCAAATCAAGCAGGAGAAAGCTGGTAGGTCCACATGTGAGAGAATGGGCCTGTGTACACTGCATAAAAAAAATCCTGCAGCATGCAGTGCATGAGAAAAATAAAAAAACTCCGACCACGTTTTCGGATTAAAACGCCGAATTTGAGGTGTATTTTCGTATAGTATTTATAGTTGTATTCTCGTTCTTTTGATCTCATTTAATAGAATGGAAAACATATTACAGAAATATAGATGATTTTGATTAGTTTCACAATGAAAACGACCTCAAAATTGAGCTCAAAGTAGTGGAAATATTCAATTTTTACCAATGTTCAAGAGTAAGCAAATCACACCACACGTCCAATACACGTCAACTCGGGAGTCAAATATTCTTTCACTAGTGTACTGATATTATTCATACCATTTTTACAATAATGCAATAGTATGCATAACAGTAGATCTATTTTTTGTGAATAAAAAAATCAAAATAGAAAGCAAGAGCAATACATGAGGGGCCCAGAGACGTGACTAATGAACAGATGATACGTTATTTTTAGTGCCAAGAATATCTGCACTGTTTATTCGGGACCCTATTTTGAAATTGGCATCTTTTTTTAATTTGCGTGAAATTGGCCAAATTGCCAATTCTGACCATTTTATTGGATGGTTGAAATCGGTAAATGGGCAGTTTCTTGTACTCAATTGATAGAAAAAATGGAGTTCTAAAGAAATAGCTACGAGTTTGGTAGACTGGAACAATGGAATTGGCTGAAAATAGGATGATACGTAAATGTCGCCGTGGTCGCTAACTTCATGAGAGCATAATTCCATAAGTTTTCCATCAAATTTCGTACTTTTTCCTGTCATTATCATCAAGATTCTCTATCATTTCATATTTTTTTTTTTCCAAATATTTTGCGACTCCAGGAGACACTTCAGGATTTGGGGTTGTGACAGTCAAAGGGTTAAGAAGCATAGTGGCATACACAGTGTGGTAAGGCATGGCGAGGCTGCAAGTTCTGACAAATGTGCAGCTGAAAAATTTGTTCATGAATTCAAGGTGTACGTAGAGGATGAAGGATTCCTCCCATAACAAGTGTTCATTTGTAACAAAATAGGCCTCTTTTGGAAGAAAATACCAGAGGACCTACATCACACAGGAGGAAAAGGCACTACCAGGACTCTAGCCTATGAAAGACAGGCAAACTGAATCTATCGATTGAGTACAAGAAACCACATATTTACCAATTTCAACTACCCAATAAAGTGGTCAGAAATTGGAAATTTGGCCAATTTCATGCAAATTAAAAAATGTCAATTTCAAAATAGGGTCCAGAATGAACAATGAAGACATTCCTGGCACTAAAATAACACTTTCTCTGTTCATCAGTTATGTCTCCAGGCCCCTGTTATAATACTCTTGCTTTCTATTTTGAATTTTTATTCAAACAAAAAGTAGAAGATCTACCATTATGCAGACTACTGCAATATTGTAATAATTGTATGGATAACATCAACCCATTCGTGACTGCATATTAGAATGGCTAGTTGAACATTTATTGGACAAACTCTTAAACATCAGCAAAAATCGAACATTTCTGCCTCTGAGCTCCATTTCAAAGTAAAACCAATCAAAATCACCTCTATTTCCATAATATACAGTGGACCCTTGCCTAACAAACGCATTGCATAACGTTGAATCCGCCTAATGAAGCTTTTGAGCGTCAAAATTTTGCCCAGCCTAACGATAAAAAACTTGCCCAACGTGATTCGTCCAGGACGCGTCCCACGTGTGGCCTGAGTGCGCCTCAGCTGCCCTGTAGGTGCCAGTGTTTACAAGCCAGCCAGTGCGGTCACATCTATGCATACATTCGGTACACTTCACCTTATCCCAGTGTTTTTAGTGCTTGCAACTGCAAAATAAGTCACCATGGGCCCCAAGAAAGCTTCTAGTGCCAACCCTGTGGTAAAAAGGGCGAGAATTAGTATGGAAATTAAGAAAGAGATAATTGCAAAGTACAAAAGTGGTGTGCATGTCTCGGAGCTGGCCAGGTTGTATACCAAATCCCAATCAACCATTGCTACTATTTTGGCCAACAAAACGGCAATCAAGGAAGCTGTTCTTGCAAAAGGTGCAAGTCTGTTTTCGAAACAGAGATCGCAAGTGATAGAAGATGTTGAGAGACTGTTATTGGTGTGTATAAATGAAAAACAGATAGCAGGAGATAGCATCTCAGCGATCGTATGTGAAAAGGCAAGGCAGTTTCATGATGATTTAACCATTTCAGGGTTTCTGACGTACTAGTACGGCTTACGCACCAGGGTTTTTGACGTACTAATACGCCTAAATTCTAGCGCCCTCAAATCTAGTGAGAGAAAGCTGGTAGGCCTACATATGAAAGAATGGGTCTATGTGGTCAGTGTGCGCAGTATAAAAAAAAATCCTGAAGCACACAGTGCGTAATGAGAAAAAAAAAAAAACTTTGACAGTGTTTTTGGTTTAAAACAGTGACTTTGCACTGTATTTTCGTATGGTATTTATGATGGTATTCTAGCTTTCCTGGTCTCATTTTACAGAATGGAAGACATATTACAGAAATTGATACGATTTTGATTGGTTTTACAATAAAAAGTACCTTGAAATTGAGCTCAAAGCAGCAGAAATCTTCGATTTTTGCCAAAGTTCAAAAGTAAACATATCATGCTACGCATCCAATACACGTCAACTGGTGAGTCTAATATTCTTTCACAAGTGCGCTGATATTATTTATACCATTTCTATACTAATGCAGTAGTCTGCATAACAGTAAATCTTCTATTTTTTTGTGAGAATAAAAATTCAATGTGGAAAGCAAAAGAATGTAAGAAGGGCATGGAGACATGACTAATGAACAAAGGTAATGTTATTTTAGTGCCAGGAATGTCTTTTTTGTTTATTCTGGACCCTATTTGGAAATTGGCATCTTTTGAAATTTGTGTGAAATTGGCAAAATTGCTAAATTCTGACCACTTTATTGGATAGTTGAAATCGGTAAATGGGTGGTTTCTTGTACTGATTCGATAGACAAAATGGAATTCTTGCGAAATAGTTATGATTTTTGTTGACTAGTACCCTGGAATTGGACGAAAATAGGGCTCAAAGTGGGCAAAATCACTGATGCGTAAACATCATCGAGACCGCTAACTTCGCGAGAGCATAATTCTGTAAGTTTTCATCAAATTTCATACTTTTGGTGTCATTAGGATCAGGAAAAGATTCTCTCTCTTTTCATAATAAGAAATAATTTTTTTTTTCCAACAAATTTTCGACCCTGAGAACAAGTTTTGGAGTGGGCCTCTCGACCCTGAAAGGGTTAATTAAAAAAGTGCCTGCAACTAGTGGTGATGCGAGTGAATTTAAGGCCAGCAAAGGTTGGTTTGAGAGATTAAAGAATTGTAGTGGCATACATAGTGTGATAAGGCATGATGAGACTGCCAGTTCGGACCAAAAAGCGGCTGAAAAGTATGTGTAGGAATTCAAGGAGTACATAGACAGTGAAAAATTGAAACCTGAACAGGTGTTTAATTGTGACAAAACAGGCCTGTTTTGGAAGAAAATGCCAAACAGGACCTACATTACTCAAGAGGAAAAGGCACTCCCAGGACATAAGCCTATGAAAGACAGGCTTACTCTTTTGTTGTGTGGCAATGCTAGTGGTGATTGCAAAGTGAAGCCTTTATTGGTGTATCACTCTGAAGCTCCCAGAGTGATCAGGAAAAACAATG